ACAGCAAAATCACATACAAAAAGCTTTTAGAAGAAGTATGTCGGTTTTCGAACGTATTGAAATCCAAAGGCGTAGTTAAAGGTGATCGTGTTGCAATTTATATGCCAATGGTTTTTGAGATCGTGATTGCCATGTTATCGTGTGCAAGAATCGGTGCGGTTCATTCTATTGTTGTAAGTTCTAAACAAATTTTATGTTGGCTATGATTGGCCGACAGGGTATTCATTATTCACCTATTGGCTTTTAATATAGGTATACCTAATAGGATAATATATCTATTTAATACAGATATAGGTATACATAAGGTACCTGCAGGACTTTGACAGAAGAATTCCACCACGTTAATTTTGCCCATGAAACATAGACATCATAGTGTCATAGTCTAAAGTGTAAACAAACCAGTCAGATTATAAGCAAAAAGCTAGGTATTCGCAATTTTATTGTATAATATATGTAACTTCAAGTTCACAAGAACACAACATTTAATCTGCATATATATTGATAAAATTATTAATAATTTTATCTCATATTCATAAAATTGCAATAATTCCAGCCTATATTATTTCAAAAATCAAATTTACAAAAACCTATAAGATAGGTATTTGAATAAATTCAAGATTTTTCTTAATAAATTAGTACCTAATTATTTTTGAAAACTTAATAACACATAACTTTATAAGTTATAACAATTAATAAATAAATAGGTAGGTAATACTAGTTTTATAATTTTCTAAACCCAGTATTGATTCATTTAGTTTTCATAGCATATAAACTATAAACTATTATCTTAATGTACTCTATATAGTTCGTAATTTCATAATCTTATATTTTTGGGTATTAGTTCGCAGGATTTTCATCCGATTCGCTAGCAGAACGTATGGCCGACTGCAAGTGCAAAGTCCTTGTGACAGCTGATAGTGTGTACAGAGGAGACAAATTGTTAAACATTAAAAGCCTATGTGATATTGGTAATACATTAACACCCAATTGTTTATTAACTAAATTGCATTGTGAACAAATAAAAAATTAATATATATTTTCATATTATAGCAATGGACAAAGCCAAGAATTTTGGCCATGAAATTTCAACTTGTATCGTAGTTCGTCATTTACCACGTCTTTACAGATCCATGAACACATCTAATGGTTCAAATGGGTCTAACTCCGATATTATAGATCTACACTCAGATGTACCTATACTCAATATTATATTAAATGATAATCTGACGTTCTCGGTAATATGGGCAATTTGAAAGTATATGAGGGGCAACTTCTCTCCCCTCCAAAAAATAAAACAAAACGATAGTTTATTTTACATGCATTTATTATGTTATTATTAAATAACATAATTTGTTTAATCCCTGCTTTGCTGCTTCGTGTATACTTACTAGAGCCCTGATGCATGGACTAAGACTCGGCCCAACTTAGAGTGGGATAGTGATTGTTCGAACCGAAAATGCAAATACTGTTCGTGCTGTCAGGCCTAATTCACACTTTCGGGTCAATCGAGACACCGATAAAATAATTCAGATCAAATATACAATTATAGACACTTACAAAATAATTTTGGATCTGGCTGTCTCAAGACGTTTGATTTAATATATGCTGAGTCTATTTTTCGGATTTTCTAGTTGGGCTTGATTTTCAAATTTGGTTCGAAACCAACATAGAATTTGTATTAACCGATCGGATCCATAGCAGAATTCTATATACTCTATACCTAGTAGATTGAAGGGCCGTTTTTCTATACTTCAAATTACGCCTATGCGATTACCGAATTATATAGAAATAATATAGGTAACCTGCAGGATGTTGTACTTTAGGTTCCATGGACTGATGGACGAGATTGTTGGTGGCATGATGAAATGGATGACGTAGAACCTTCTTGTTATCCGGTCTGGATGTCAGCAGAAGATCCACTTTTCATGTTATACACGAGGTTAGTAGGTAGTATATAAGGTAGCTAATAATTTCATATTTTTTTAAAAATAATTTTTAAAGAAATTGTTTTTGGTAATGAGTGCAATAACTGGTAATATTTACAGGGTTCAAAGTTTTGAAATATTTTAATGTTTACTGTTAAAAATCGATTTGAATTAGGTTATTTTTTATTACTTTCCAGTTACTTACTTATTTATATTAAGCTAATAGTTGTAAAACTATATCTACCTATTTATTTGGTGTTACAAGTTAAAATATTTAAGTTTAACATAGGTACTATTTTGGTCGTCTATTTAAAAGCCGAATCTAAATTAAACAGAACAGGGAACACATAAACAAATAAATAATTAAGAAATATATTTAAATGATTTAGTTATTTGTTCAAATTTTAAAATACTCTTTTTTATTAATTAATAATTATTATTATTAGTGGTTCAACAGGAAAACCTAAAGGAGTGCTTCATACAACTGGTGGATACTTATTATACGCTGCTACTACTTTCAAGTATGTTTTTGATTATCATCCAGGGGATGTTTATTGGTGCACAGCAGATATTGGTTGGATCACTGGCCACTCTTACGTAGTGTATGGACCCTTAGCAAATGGGGCAACTTCAGTTATAGTAAGTGTTTTTTAATTTAATTATACACATCAACAGTTTGGTCATTAGAAAAACTAACTTTTATTCTGAAAGTAAAACTTAGTAAATAGAAAACATCAAAAAAATAAATTATAATTTTATTGAATAGGTATATCTATTAATGTTTTCTGAACTTTAGTTTGAAGGAACGCCATTTTATCCAGATAATGGAAGATATTGGTCAGTTATTGAAAAATATAAAGTTACACAGTTTTACACTGCACCGACAGCCATTCGTGCACTAATGAAGTTTGGAGAAGAACCAGTAAAGAAGTACAGACTTTATTTAGTAACTTTGTTTCTTTAATTATTAACTTGATTTTATTTTTAGACATAATCTCGATTCACTAAAAGTATTAGGTTCAGTGGGTGAACCAATAAACCCTGAAGCTTGGTTGTGGTATTACCAACATATTGGTAAAGAAAGATGTTCCATAGCAGACACGTTTTGGCAAACTGAAACAGGAGGGCATGTTATAACTCCACTCCCAGGTTGTACACCAATGAAACCAGGATCGGCAGTAAGTGTTTTACTGTACAACTATAAGAGACCGCCCCAAACAGCTACCAATTAACTTATTGGTATTTATAGTCATTTCCATTCTTTGGTGTTAAACCAATCCTATTGGATGAAAGTGGCAAAGAAATTGAAGGAGTTGGCGAAGGATACTTGGTGTTCAATAAGCCTTGGCCTGGTATGATGCGCACATTATTTGGAAATCATGAACGCTTTCAATCAGTTTACTTTAGCAAATTTCCAGGATACTATTGCACAGGAGATGGTAGATTAAAATTAATGTTCAAAGCTCATAATTTACAGGAGAATAATTGCCATTTCATAATAGGTGCTAGAAGAGACGAAGATGGATACTTTTGGGTGACTGGAAGAGTGGATGATATGCTAAATGTATCTGGGCACTTGATGAGCACTGCTGAAGTGGAATCTGTACTTACTGAACACCCTGATGTTTCCGAAGCTGCAGTTGTATCAAGACCACATCCAGTCAAAGGAGAGTGTCTTTATTGTTTTGTTACTCCAAATCATGGTGTGACTTTTACACCAAAACTTTCATCAGAGTTAGTTAAAAAAGGTAAATTTTACAAATAGTAATTATAAATACAGCCAACACAGGTAAGTATTATAGAATTAAAACTACCTAATTGATATTCATCAATTATCCATACAAATAAAATAATTTTACTTTAGTGAGGGAATCGATTGGGCCTTTTGCTATGCCAGATATTATTCAACATGCGCCAGGTCTTCCAAAAACTCGGTCTGGAAAAATAATGAGAAGAGTCTTACGAAAAGTAGCAATCAATGACAGAGAAGTAGGTGACATATCAACATTAGCGGACGAACATATAGTTGAAGAACTATTCAAAAACAGGCCGGAGAAATCGTAAATAGTTACCAGAAAAAAGTTATTTTATAATATTGTTCGGTGCAAACATGACCTACATATCAAATTGTGAATTTTTTGTCTTAAGTCCTTAGTAAGTTTGTAATCAAAAAAATTGTCTTAAACAATTAATTTAGGGTGACATATAGATGATCGTGGTTTATTATGATGAATATTATGTACTTAATCCAATAGAATGATGCTCGCCATCATAACTATTTGAGCTCATATTTATTGTAAGTGAATTATATTCTGTACTTATTAGTCAACAGTTGCTTATAAAGTTATAAGTTTGACAACCAATGTTGTCAGTTGTTAAGTTTATTATTATGTTTGAACTATTATAGTTATACGAAAATTATTATGATGATATAAAAATCTGCTTTCTTAATTTTTCAATAAGAGCAATTATATCAACATAATATAAATGTACCTAAATGATTGCAGTCATAGTATTTTAAGTGTTACTGTTATAAATAATTATAGTACAATAATTGCAAGGGCGATTCAAATGTAAGAACCATTACCAAACTTTAATTTATTATATTTACTAAGTATCTAACGCTACCATCCTCTCCAATAATGATTTTTACAATAAGAAACTGAATATATATACCTACCTATTTATAGAATGTCAAATTTATACAATATATTACTCTGTAAGTCAATGATATTTTAATATTATAGTACGTTTATTGTTTAAGTACAAATGTTCTGTCAAGAAATCAAAATGGAACAAATGATATCAAACTAAAGCACAAAACAACTATTTTTATTTTTTATTTTGCGACTACTTGTATTGTTTATTCAAATATGCTTACAGGAATGAACATCACAAAATCAAAGTTAAAAGTATCACATAACATACTTACGCAACACATACATATCATTTTAAAAGTTATTTTATAACAGTAAAAATTGTTAACCATATATTTAATCTATTATATTGTAATTTGTAACCAATATTGTTATATAATTTGAATAAATGAAGATAAAAATTATCAATACAAAATTGATACTAAATCTTAAATTATTCATGAATTAAATATTGTATTATTATTTATTTTTCATTAATACTAATTATCGGTTTTAATTAAATCCCCGTAGTACAATGTTTTTGAGTTCAGTCTATTGTTCAAGTAATTACTTTCTATTTCTGCCAAATTGCCTGGGCCAGCTAAAGAAATACACTAAATGACAAAAACAGATTTATAGTAAATACATACATTGGATAATACAAATATTGATATAATAATATTTAGCATGTACATAATATTAGATATTATATAATGTTATCAGATATAAATTGAAAACAAAAAAAATTACTCTTATATAAAGTGCATCTCACTTTAAAAACAGACAAAAAACATTTCTACACATAATCAAGAATAATAAATGAAACAAATTTCTCATTTAATAAATTGATTATTAATATGTTTTCAAAATATATCACTAGAGCAATTAATAATAATTCATATATATTTGAACCAAGGACTGTAACCGATCCAAAAATAAGTTTTTCCCAAACTATAAAATGTTTTAAATGTTGGGAACCCAGAACAGAGTTTAAATATCACCAAATAACCAGAACCAAAACCCACACATTTAAATGTAAAAATATTGTGCTGTGCAATGGTTATTAATTTTGTATTTATCTCCATAATAGGTTTCAGGTGCAAGGAATAATTTGTTAAACTAAAATTATTCTTGTTTAGTGATTTATTTCTTGTGAAATATTATGATTAAAATGACTACAGAAGTTTTGCTAATTCAAAATTGACTAGACTCCACCGTATATTTATATTATACTTTGATAATAAAATGTATAATATAAATGAATATTTTACGTGTCTAAAATTATAAATTAAAGAAGAATAAATTTGAAAAGAAAAATGATTGGAACTTTTAAATAGGTATGTATCATAACCAGAATACTAACATTAACTCTTGATATTTATTTTAAATAGTATTTAATCAATTTATAGTAAACCTAGCTAGAAATTTATTCTATACATTAAAAAGTTAAAAAACAAAAATTTTAAATATATATTTGTAATTTTAGAAAAATCTACTAATTTTTTAATTTATACACATATTTTTTCCATATTAATGAATGGGAATGTATGATTATTATGTATTTCATACTCATAGTTTTTATATTTGGTACATCTGCACCTCAAATCCAATTTTTTTTTAAATTTTGCATATTAAAAATGGAATAAAACAGAGATCTATTGGCTCACAAAAAGAAACGTTTTTTTGTTTGTATAGTCACCGAGTATTAGTTACAGAAAAAAGTTATAACAATTGGATATAATTTTAGACCTGTATAATATATTAGGTAAAAATCACCCAATAACTATTAAAAATATTTGTAGTTTACATTTAATGGAACTTAAGAAGGTGTAAGTTCACAGACATTATTTTATTTGCCAAGGGCAATGCTGTGCAGGATTAGATATTATATTTTATATAGACAATTTTTTTTATAACCTATATATTTTATACTCATCTATTTAACGTAGGTATTTTCTTTTAAAGGTTATACATACGAAAACTGGGTACACTATAACCCTCAGTTACCCATTCACATATTTAATAATTCTAACTGCGGAAGATTGATGATTCAATAGCCTAGTTTCACATCGCTTAAATAGAATTCAAAAATATTCATAGGGTACTAAGTAATATCAGTTGGACACATGGTATTATGTATGAGTGCAAAATATTTTATTTCAACTTATAGATATTTAAATTATTTTGTTCGATCATTAAATAATTTTAAACTACTAAGTTGAAATTATGTAAAATACCATTTTGAATTATAGTTATCTAATTTAAAAATTAAGTTTAAAAACATATTATAACTATAAAGTGTTAGTTATATTTAATAACTGTGTATTCTGATGAGATTTAAATATTAGCAATAGCAACCAATTGAAACATAGATTAAATAAATAAATAATCAGTTAAAATTAAACATACTTGCTTGTGTTCAATATTCTTTGGGAGAAAGAATGCAATATTTTTAGTTATCTGACGAGTTAATTCATATAAGTGTTTCCCGCCTCCATAACTCGGCATTATATCATCTATGTCAAAAGTGGTTTTTTGTGAATATTTAGGGCCACCCCATGGAGGTGCCAAAAATACAACATCTGCTTTTAAAGTAGGAGCCAATGCATAGTAATCTCCAATAATAAATTCTATGCGATCTGATACACCATAAACCTTGGCATTATTTCGTGCAAGTTCTATTTTATTCGGATCAATATCTATTGCAATAACTGAAATTTTCAATAATTTTAGTTGAATTCTCACATAAAATTGTTTTATCAAAAAATTATAACCATAAATGGATGAATACATTTTAAAAATAAGTCTACCTACCCTTTTTACTAGTTAATGCAAATTGAATGGCATTACTTCCAGCACCACAAAATCCATCAATTATCAGATCACATGTACACCGTTCAGCAATCATACGACTTACTACTTCTGGTGTCGCTGAATACCAACTTTCTAAAAAATAAACATATAATAACATACAAATAAAAAAGAGAAATACTTCTCCCTAAGGTGAGGTATACCTTCGTGGAAATTCAATTTTTATTTTTAGTTAAGTCAATTGCTGTAAACAATAAAATGGAATATCCATAGACACAAAAGCTAAGTTTAGATCTAAAAAGAGACTCTATGGAAATATTGTTTAAACGCTTTAAACCTGTTTTTATCACAGTTTCATCTTTTTGTAACTCTTCTTTACTCAGTATCACAACATTGTGACAAAAATATATTTAATATAATATAATGATATTGTAATTGTATGCTTACCACTGTCTAATTTTATTCCTTGGTCATATTTTTTAAACAACCTATATCTAGAATTCCAATATTTTAACAATGAAATGTCTTTTTGTATTTCAGCAGGTAATTTTTTAAAAATTTTTGGATCCAATCTTTGACGTTTCGTAACATTTTTTATTTCTCTTTTTCGTTTGCGTTTATTTTTAAGAATTCCATCACTACCCATGATTAAGTTTTAAGAGGAAACAATTATCATTCAAAATACTTTAATTAAATCTATTCTGTAGCCTGTAATTAAACCTAGCCACCTTGGAATTCGGTTTGTATAATACTAGTATAGAATTATGGAGTAGTAATTTAAATATTACTCTATGGAATCAGTAATGAACTATAAAAAACAATTCTGTATTTTGTAAATGGTGATACTGGAATATTCTTATTATCACGGAGTACGCGCACGTCGCGCACCATATTTTGTTGTTTATAAGAAATATTTTTGTACAGGCTATATATATATAATATCAAGTCTTATTGTTCTGTGGTTTTATACTTTTATCACAATATTATAACTGTGGGTTATATTGATAGTATTTTTACATAATAATTATTAATTAATATTCGATACCGTGATTTTCTGTCTTTGTCGAACACACGCCCGGCATAGGACTTTAGACTTGTTCTTTGCCAAAGGTATCGATTGATATAGAAAAGCGATAAGAATATTCTGAAATCAGATTTGAATTTGTCGTCTTGAATTCTCCAAAACATTTTTAATATGACAATTTTTCAATAATTTTTTTTTCAACATAACGTTTTTGGGAATTTGGAGGATAATATCAAAAATGTGGAGAAGTTAATCACAAGTATAATAGTCTTGACGACAAATTCAAATCTGCATTTAGAACACTTACCGTATCATTAATCAATAGATCTATCGGTACGTTTGGCAAAAAACACGTCGAAACTCCTATGTAGAGCGTGTGTCAAACAAAAACAAAAAATCAATGTATCGAATTCCCTTTATTATCAATATAATATCTGTAAACCTTGTTGTAGTAGAACTTTTTTAATTTTGTTTTGTTAGTAGGTACTATTACCACAGACTAAATTCATATAGTCTGTGCTATTACTATAATATGTCCATGGTTTCGCTTTTTGCAGTCCAGCACACGATTTCAGATCTCAGACTAATTAATAATTTATTATTCTGATTTTATATTTTCATCTATTCAGTGGTCTTGCTATTGATATAACGATAACATGGCTGGCAGCTAATAAGAAATGGAGAACTACGATGTTTGCGAAGCGAAGAGTGGTGTGGATGTGTAACAAAAAACTATGGTGATCACAGACATCAAAACATGTATTTCTATGGTGACAAGGTCAATCTATTTTGTCATGCTGTTGACCACGAGCACAATAATATTATAATAGTATAATATTGACCATGAACAATGAACATATTATGAACATTTGGGTAGTAGGCATTATATCTATTCTGTGTAGTGGCCAGTCGATACTCACGTAAATAGCAAATATCATAGTATTATATTGTTTTTTTTTTTATAGTATCACACTATTATCACAGATTATATAAAATATTTTAAATTTTAAAACTACAGAATAACTTTATTTCTTGGTCTGTTGCAGTGGCACGATCTTTAATCGTGTTCTGTGATGAAAATCACGATTTAAGGTATATTTTAAATCGCGGTGAAAATGTAGAATATATTAACACAATATTAATAAATTTTTAATCTGTGATAGTATTTTGGCGACGGGCTAAAAAGAGTTTAATTGATTAATGATAACAAGATAATGATAGTAAACGAAATAAACAATAGAACATAATATTTTATCATCTACAACGGTCAACGACCATAAATTATTATAATTGATCTCAATCCTGAAATATTTAACACTACTCAAAAGTCCTCGTACATTGAATTTTGTGTTCATCGGTATTGTACCGATATTTAAACGACTATCATGAAGCCTGTAATTGCTGCCGATGAAATGTTCCCAGAAGGGACCAGTGCCGTAATGGACTTGGATGATGAGGTAATTTATAAACAATTCATATAATATACACAGCGTGATTCACCAAACATGCTCACTCCTTTTTTTCTTCAACAACACAGTTGTTCAAAATCTGATGCTTGGAATTTTCAAGTACATTCTAAGAAGTTTGATAACTTATAAGACCATATTTTGAAATTCTTGAAAATTTTGATGAACCTTAAGGAGAATCATGTGAAGGTACTTCTGTTTTTCAAATAAAAACTTCCGTTTTTACTGTAAATTATTTAGTGGAAATTGATTTCTGAAAATGATGACGTACTAAAGTCAAAATTCGAACCAGTCGTTTTTGAGTTATGTAACTTTGTGTATAAGAAAAACAGATCCATGATTATATGTTTGGAAAGTATGGGAGCTATGGTAATTTAAACAATTTTAGTAATCATTATTTATAATTTTTAAAAATGAGCAAAGTATTATTACACTATACTCTATTCAGCGAGAGAACAGATTTTGAGCATCCCACTGTGTCATTCTGGTACCAAATTCGGTTTCGCTATGTCAGAGGGAGGGTGGGGTTGCTCAGAAGAACCGTTTTTGCTTCTCTTGTTGAACAGAAAATAGATCTAAAATATTACATCTGTTTCATATTTTTGTAAACCATTTTTTAGAACTAATTTCCTTATTACAAACATTTTATAATTGAGAAACTACTTGTTTGATTCTTGAATAAGATACATAACATTTCTCAAAAATATTATCCACTAATTAACTTAAAGTGAATAAAGGTGGTTTTATTTGAAAAAAACAGAAGTTTTTATCACCAAAGGACAATCTATGGTAGTAGTACGAATCTGATTTTTTATAAATTCATTATAAAATAAAAAAAAATGGAGGTAGCATGCTTAGTGAATCATAATGAGCATCATTAAATTATTAAATGTTTTGTTCATAGACGGGAAGCAATGTTATATTTGAAATGAGTGACAAAAGTCTACAAGCTGATTTTTATAATGGTACGTTGTAAAATATGAACACATTATAGTTTAAGATTTAGCTTATTTTGGTTATTTTAATATTCAATTTTTAATTAATTATAATTAAATTATTTTAAAAAAATGTATACTATGATCATGTATATTGTAATGTTTAGTATTCTAAATGTCTACAAAAAAAATAAATATGCAGTATGGAGTTTTGCGATGCTCCTGGAAATAACTTCAAAAATATCACTCATCACCGGTATTAAGAAAGCCTGTTATGCCCATCTGCCTACTACCATATAATGTTCAACAGTTAATAATTCCATTTTTATAGTCTTATAAAAATAAATAGTAAAACAATATTTTGTGTATCCATATTATATTATATAACACTATGGAAGCCCATATTTATCATACAGTGTTCAAGTGTGATAACTGCTTCAGAAATATTGAATTTGATTTGGTAATAGAAATTAATCAATTACCTAATTTCAACAAAAAATGTGTTAATATACTTTTTTTTTTTTTTTTTTTATTGATCTTAAGCTTCGGCAACTGAGGCCATTAGCTGTAGGTTGTGGTACTGTAGGGTTTTTTTTTTTTTTTGGGACTGTTGGGTTACTGTAGGGTTATGGAACACGTGTGTGGTTAATATACTTTGTTTAAGATGTATATATTATATTTAAAAACTAAAAGGTGTTGGCTGCTTTCCTACCATTTTTTTTCATATATAAATCTGCCTATAAATTCAATTTACTGAGCATACTATTCTTCATTTTTTATTGAAATATTAGTTTTTTCTACTTTATAAAATCATGCTAGCATAATTGTTTTCTACAATATATATAATATTAAAGAATGAATTGAATCAAATTTCTAGAAAATTGAAAAACTGAAAAATTCTAAAAAAATCATATTCACTAGCTTACAGTAGTTGATTTTTAAATTAATGGATATACCTTTCATAAACTTACTAGCAAAAAAGTTAGGAAATCTTAGAAAAACTAGTACATTTATTACCCTATTCTCTCGATACCCACAGGTATTTTATTGTTTTGTTTATTAATGGACTACTTGTGTTTTTCAGATTTTAATGATCTTAATGATGATGAAGAATTTTAACATACCAATGTTACCTCATGAAAAAATTACACACAAATTACTTGACTCATAATAACAAAAAAATGTCAATGTGCTTTTTTTTTAAACTTTTGTATTATGTCAAGTATTTGTTATAAATTTTAGTATTAAAAATAATAAGATATTGAAAGCTTTATTTCATTTTTTCATCACAAATTGCTTTTTATTATTAATTATAATATAAGTGTTCTAAAGTACAATTATTCTTAATTTTTTTTTATCCATTATAAGTAAAATGTGCAAACAATTTAAAATGTTAAAATGTTCACAGCTCGCTTCCAAATTACAAATAATAAAACCTATAAGATTCACTACATAATAGTCTTACTTAAAAATTTAATAATAGGTCAATTCACTCCAATATTAAACTGACCAGTTAAACGAATTATTTTTATTTCAGAATGTACAATTTGCTAAGTAATGCCTATGTAAGACAGACAACATATCATATAGGTAGCATCCCCTTAAGTCCCAATACTAATTATTGACACATATAAAAAAAACTCTTAAAAATATATTTTTGTGTTTCTTTGACCAACTTCAAAGATTTTTGAACAAATAATTAAGTATAAAATTATAGAATACTACATCATACGCTAATGATTCTATATTTATCATCTCACGGTTTAATGTGCCTTGCTACCCAATTTGTCATCCAACTATTTCAGTACCTAATTTATAAAAAGCAAATAATTTTTTAATACATACAACACATTTGTACTGTACTGATAATTAAGTTAACATTTTAGAGACTTGTAATTGAAAACAAGTTGTACATAGTATATTATGAAAAAATAAATGTTTTCATAAACTTAATATTGTACTTTTTCATAATTATCAAGTGTTCCATGACCTAAATAATGTTAAACAATGACTGGACAATTATGGTCGACCTGAATAAATGTAGTCATTAAATGATAGACTGAACCATATATTTTAACAGTGTAATATATGTTTATTACTTACCTTTACTATTTTTATTAATAAATATTATTTATACATTAATAACATTTTATAAATTTCACTGTGAAAGTGTCGGGTGTAAAATAAAAATGCAAACCCTTGAATATTTGGCACTTATTTTATTTTGTCTACCTTTGCACTGGGTAGCGAGCGGTGTATTACTTTATAAGTTCAGTTAAAACTATATTGTTGCAATTCTTCAATATTTGACAATTGTAGATTTTCCCAAGGCTGGAAGAAACTAATGCAAAAATCAAAATTCCAAATCATTCCAGGTTAAATGGTACCTAAATTAAAGACATCGTTATTATTTAGGCTGGAATGGTTAACTGCAAGGAACTTTTGATGCAGCTTTACATAAATATAAATTTTAAAAAACATTGTGAGAAGTAAGTAAATGTTTATTAGGTATCAAAGAGTATGCAAATTAAAATAACATTTGTTTTAAAAAATATCCCTTAAAATGAAATATGTAAATTAATTTAAATTGTTACACAATGTCTAATTATTGGTGATAGAAATAATTATACATAACAAATAGCATAGCTTATACTGTCTTTAACCGCATTAGAAAAGTTATTAAATGAGGGCATATTTTTAATTTAAATATTTATTAGTATTTGAAAATATACTAATTGATTTCATATACATTTTTTAGCAGTTAGTTTAATGATAAAAATTTCAAGTGAAATCTTCCCGAATCCTTAAAATAGTTGAATAGTTTAAAAAAAAATGAAAATTTTCACAGTCTAATGATGTTTAATAATAAGTGACGATATCAGTGAAGTATATCAATCCCAATAGGGTTCATCAATTTGGTAATTTTCAACATCATAGTTGTAGACAATATTCTCATTTTTAGTTTGTTGAGCTTGAACTTTGTGTGGTTGCATTTCTTCAGCTTGAGCAAACCTAGGCTTATGAGGGCATGTTAGTAAATGATTAGCCATTTCATGTTTTTCTAAATAATAGTAATGCCCAAAAGGACATTGAACTTTATTCGGAAATGACTTTTTGCACTTTACAAGATGATACGGCAACCTGTGACGTCGAAGTCTGTGGTTCGGATTTAATGGACATTGCACCATGTCTAAGTAATAGATACTAAAATCAACGATCTCGCATGTGGATGGATCATCATTCATTGATTCTTGAGATGAAGACATTTCCAATATAGTTGCCTGTTGGTAAAATAACAAGTCAATCATTAGGTATTTTAACATTTGAGAAAGAAAATTAACGACAAAATAATGTGTGCATAATATGTCTAGATTGTTATCAACAAATAGTTTAAGAATAGTTAATTAACAACTAGGTACATGTTTCAGATTTAAAAATAATTGAATTAATTATTTGGCTTAAACATAATTTAATAAAGGAGTTACGTAAAATCTTTTATTATCAAATATTATATAAAACATACAACATGTATACTTGAGTACTGACACTGAGAGATTTGCTTGAGTTCTATGACAATAATTTATAAAAAAAACAAGACCAACAGGTATTACCAATTTGAGTTTACGTAGCAATAAAATATGAATAAAAAGAATGATTTATTTTCTAAAAAATTGTAAATAATTTTGAATCTAGAAATTTAGCAATAGGTACTATTCTAACATAAAGAAAAGAAAATTATTGAGGAACCATACAATGGTTCTGAAAATATAATTCTAATTGTTAACTAAGTAATTAGATATAATATATTAAACAGAATAATTCCATTGATTTGTTACCTACAAATACGAATACTAAAATTGAAGGTAAATTAAAATAAACATTATCATATTACTTTTCACAATATTTCAATAAAAATGTGGATCCAAACTCCGTGTGATACAGGATCAACGATGCAAATTTTATTATATTAATAAAAGAATTTATAAACAATAGTTAGAGAATATAGAAGCATTTGAGAAGTCGTACAACACGCTACCTAAATTTAGTAGCCATACCTGAATACTGGACAAATTGGACAATTAATACTAAGTACAAACTGCAGCTAAGTCGGGACAATATTATTTGTATATTTGTATTGCATTCAGATAACTTGATGTCTGTGATAAAATTGTAAAATCAAAGACTATAATAATAGCTTATAGCTATAAATTATAATTGATAAAAATAAATTAAATAATAAGTTATTTAATCGTGAATTGATAGTGATATTAATATCATATTATGAGCACTAAGTAATAACAACCACAATGTGTATTTAATACGCCTTGGAGTGTGTATTAATATTATAAGGTATAAGCACAGACTTCTATACTATAGATAAGGTACTCGCGTTATCGGGTGAAGCATTATCAACGCATGGTTGCCATTTTGTTGGTTGGCAAAACATTATAATAATTTTCGACTTTCGTTTCATGCACAGTAAAGTGAATCTGATGGTTCATGTTCATTATTTAAGTATTTTGTAAATGTAAATACGTTACATTTAAGCTGATTTGTATGTTACATTAATTGTAGTAATTATGCCAGTATCTTGTGTGGCATATGGATGTACCATTAGGTATAAATCCGGTCAAAATGTTCATTTTTTTCGGTAAGTTCAATTATATGTATTTAAAATTAAATAAACAATTTGGTACCTATAATCATAATTTATAATACATAAATGTAATAGTTTCTATGAATCATTGATATCTGTTATATTATACTAATTTTATAATATTCCTCTGTATTCGTCTGTATTTCATTATTTTACAGATTTCCTTTGAATAATGAAAATGTAAACCAAAAGTGGATTATTGCATTGAGACGAAAAAATTTTATACCCTCTCAATGGAGTCGTATATGCAGTATTCATTTTATTGACAGTGATTATGAAATAAGACCTGGAACTACTAAACCACGTTTAAAAATTGATGCTGTACCATCAAATTTCCCATCTTTTCCTTCTTACCTTCAAAAACCTGCCAAATGTCCTCGAAAAGAACCTGCAAAAAGAAACTATACACCAATGGAAGTTCCAATAATTGATACCGGTTTGTATTTAAATTTGATCTATATCTTTAATTAATAAATATTTAAAATTATTAAGCTTTAGATCTTGAAGTAGATGACACTAAAATATTGGTTGAAAATAGTGATGATATTCTAAAAATAAATTCTGTTGCTGATAAAGAAGTTCAAACATTAGAAAATTATGCAGATGAACTTTTCTTAAAAAGTAAAATCAAGAAATTACAACAAAAATTAAGAAGAAAACAAAACAAAATAAATAATTTAGAAGATTTACTGAAGGACCTAAAGTGCAAAGGCTTAATTGATACTGAACCAGGAAATATTATAGAAAATTGTTTCAGTGGTAATATTTTTAAATTATTCTTAGAAAAATTGCATTGCTTAATTTTTGCTTGATATATATATATTTGCATGCATGCTAATGCTTGTTAGGCACCATTTTGGATTTATTTAAAAATGAAATGAAAAATAATAATAATGTAACTGGTGCACGATATTCAACAGAAATGAAACAGTTTTCTTTAACTTTGTATTATTACTCTCCAAAAGCTTATAATTTTTGCAGGTAATTAAATTATATCTATAGCTAGCTTATTGCTTATGTTAAGCATACATTTTATACTATGATATAATACAATTTTTTTTTTTTTAGATCTATACTAACACTTCCTCATCCATCATCTATTACTAATTGGACTTCTTCAGTGAACGCTGAACCAGGTTTTTTAGGAGAAGTATTTGAGTGTATAAAGAAAATTCCAAATGGTGATAAAGATTGCAACTTAGTTTTTGACGCAATGTCAATACGTAAAAAAATTATTTATGATGGAAAAAAAGACAAATTTCTAGGATACTGTGATTTTGGAGGTATACAGGTTGAGGCACATGAAACCCCTGCAACCGAAACATTAGTTTTTATGCTAGTTGGTCTCAATGGTAAATGGAAATGGCCTTTTGGCTACTTCTTACAATCAAAAAGTACAGCAGCAGTACAAGCAGGATTAATTAAAACAGCAATTATAATGGCAAACGAAGCAGGGGCTAGAGTATGGGGTGTAACTTGTGATGGGACGACTACATATATATCTACTATGACACACTTAGGATGCAAATTTAGTGGCTCATATGATGAAATTGTTGAGTGGTTTAGTATACCTGAAATTAATTGGAAAGTAAGATTTTAAAAACAAATTTAATTTGAATAGTATTTAATTTAAACTATTGCTATGATTTTGACTAGATATATTATGTTCCTGATGCTTGCCACAATATCAAATTGGCCCGCAATGCACTTGCAACTTATCAAAAGTTCAAAAGTAAAGATGGTGTTATTGATTGGACGTACATCAAAGATTTAAATAAAGGTAGATTAAGTATTCTATAAAAATTAATTAATTTCAAGTGATAGGGTAAGAGAACTAATTTTG